TGTTCCAGTGCCTTGCTGTTGTGTTTTTTTCCTTGTCATTAGAATACACAAATTATGGCTCTGGTTTTGCTGGTGCTGCTGTTTGATGATACTGCATAAATATGTTGGGTACACACTAAAGAAGTTGTGGTTTAATTCACTGCAGTAAAATGCACCATAACCAGATTGCAGTGAGATAAGAAGTGAGGATGGTGTGTGAAATCAATCCCATTTCCGTGCTGTGCGGGTAGAGAGCCATGCACTGCATGGCGAGTTGAAAGCTGAATAATTCAGTTCCTTCATGTAAGTTTCTGTCAGCAGTGGACTCTGGTGTGGTTGAGTCTGTGCTGAATAATTGGAACGATTTGGTGCTGATACTCATGGGGAAACTTTGAAGCCATTTTCTTTACCTCTGTCTTTTTGCACAGGAGTATGAAATGTTTCTTCTAGCCGATAGTTGCTTTCAATAGTCGTTAATTATCTTCTAAACTGTTATTACCACAAGTGGTGAGCTTGCACACAAGGGCTTTTTCCTCCCATCAGCATGACTGAAAGGCCCTGAAATATAAATACACTTGCAAGCAGCATGCTGAAATTCTTCTATTGACGAATGCATTCATTTTGAGTGCAGGTTTGTGCTGTGGTCGTTGTTTGGTGTTGCTCCACCAAAGGCATTACCTGTGTGGTTACAAAACTGCTGTGTGTTGCAAACAGGGGGAACATCATTGTAGCTACACCAGGTCGGCTGGAGGATCTGTTCAGAAGAAAAGCAGATGGGCTGGATCTAGCAAGCTGTGTGAAGTCTCTGGACGTGTTGGTATTGGATGAAGCTGACAGGCTTCTCGATATGGGCTTTGAATCAAGGTATTTAATATTTAAATAAGAAGCTTTCATTATGCATCTGAAGTTTTAAATGAATTCATCATTAAATGAACACTGTATTGTTCTTTGGCCTCTCTTTGCTCCGTAGCCTGTATAAAGCAATTGCTGTAAAGGGAAAGGAATCAGGGGAGAGTGCTTGCTTGATGAACGCAAAGTTTAAGATTCTTTTTTCTGATGCATATTAGCATGTCATCATTTAAATATCAGCACTGGCTTAAAATGCTGTAACAATTAAGCACAGATGTCTTACTTGCAATGCTCTGACAAATTCTCGAACAGAAGATGCTTGACATTTAGTGATTAAAAACTGTTTTGTCTACAAGCTCATACTTTCAGTGAATAAACTTATTTCTGAGGGAAATCTTGGCGCATTTATGTCTTGCATGTTTTTACTTGCAGTTTAAATGCCATTCTGGCCTTTTTGCCCAAGCAGAGGCGGACGGGTCTGTTCTCAGCCACTCAGACTCAGGAAGTGGAGAACCTGGTGAGAGCAGGGCTCCGGAATCCTGTCCGCATCTCGGTGAAAGAGAAGGGAGTGGCAGCAACCAACACACAGAAAACTCCAACGCGCCTGGAGAACTATTACATGGTGGGAACCCTGTGCTTTGTGCTAGTGGGCATTCTTTCTCTCTTTGCCCCGATTCCATCAGCACGTTTTTAAGTCATGGCCACTTACAGTCAGTTTAACAGACGAACCAGAAGATTCTAAGATGTGAAGCTCTTGTAGGTTATCTGAAGATTGGCAACCACGTGGCAGAGAAATGCCCTTAATTCTTAATGCTGTAGTTGTCTGCTGTATGAGTTCAGCTTTGTTTTGTTTGGCTGGCCAGGACCCAAACTGCTGCACTGCTGTGCCTCCCTGACCAAACATCAGTGTGTGAAGAAAGGAGGCAGATCAGTTTGTATCGAGTCCATTTTCTTACTGATTTTCTTTTGCATTGTGTAGATATGCAAAGCGGATGAAAAATTTAATCAGTTGGTGCATTTTCTTCGACAGCACAAGCAGGAAAAGCATCTGGTCTTTTTCAGGTAATTCTGTGTTAGTGTTTCATTGTGAAAACAAGGAGTTTTATTGCTTAAATTCCAAAGCTGCCCTGTGTTGATAAGGACATGGCTGTTTTAAATGTGGTTCATTTTAATAGCTGTCTTATGGAAAGAGGATAGAAGGAGATAGAATCCTGACATGAAGCAATGATCAGTGAACGTGAACTTCAGAAGATTATAAAAGTGAAGATTATAGATGATGTGTTAATCATAAAAGTGATGTCCATATTTCAAATAAAAATAGACAAGTGGGTGTTTTTGAAAGGGCTCAGACTGTTCTGACTCGGCTGCAGATTAAATATACAGCATAATCTTTTTCTGTCTTTGTCACAACAGCACGTGTGCCTGTGTGGAATACTATGGGAAGGCTTTGGAATCCTTAATTAAACAAGTGAAAATAATGTGCATTCATGGGAAAATGAAACACAAGCGTAACAAGATTTTTACTGAGTTTCGAAGGCTCCCAGGGTAAGAACCAAGCAGTTACTCCAGGCAGAAGCAGAAACAGTAAGAGATGTAATTGTGTCTGATACAGTGTGCTTTTCTTAAATGACAGGTAGTGAAAAAGTGGTTTTTTTCTTCTTCTTCCTAGTGGGATTTTAGTCTGCACTGACGTGATGGCCCGTGGCATAGACATCCCAGAAGTACACTGGGTTTTACAGTATGACCCACCCAGCAGTGCGAGGTACAACTTCAGATCTTACCAGCTTGTGCTCGTGCTGCTGTACTGTTGAGGTATAAATTGAGAACACACAGCTGTGGAAAAGGATTTCCTTGTTGCCTGGAAGTCTGAGCGACCTGCCAACAAGAAGGTGGCAACTTTTATCATAACTGATGTGGGAGAAGTCGATTGGCTTTGTGGGCATAACGTGCAGAAGTGAAATGGGTGGCTGCCACTTGCACTTGTGCAAAGAGGCTTTCTGTTCTAAGGGTTGTGTGAGAGTAGAGATGTCACGTGCTGAGGTGTGAATGAGTGCAGAGAGCAGAGCTGTTTAAGGGTGGTACATTGAGAGTTCATGTGAGGGGAGCTCTTCCATGTATTTTTACTTCTATTGTCGTAATTTTCCTGTAGCTAAAGTTATTAGTTCAGTTCCAGATTTACCCTTTTGCTCACTAATGCTTTAAAGTCAGACCAAGCATCTCTCCTTGAATTATCCCTGCTTTGTTTCAGTGCCTTTGTGCATCGCTGTGGTCGAACAGCACGGATTGGAAATGTTGGCAGTGCACTTGTATTTTTGCTTCCCATGGAAGAATCTTATATTAACTTTCTCTCAATCAACCAAAAGGTCAGTAGAGTTTTATTCTAACCCTCTGCAGAAAAGGGCAATGGAGCAGACACTCATCAGACATTTAATGACAGGCATTTTGAAGTCAGAATTCATTGGGCTTAAGATCATATGCACTGATAAAGTTTTAGCAGAGGTGCATAATTAAAAAAAGAGCTGCTTATTAATCACCAAATTCAGTTGTTAGAATGTGATTGCTGCCTGTGTCATTTACTGAGTGCATAGAACAGCCTGGTAAAAGGCAGGGAAAGGTGCTCAGAAAGTACTGAAGATTAACTGGAGAAGAAATGAGTTTGAAGCTTCATAGCACATTTCAAGTCATTCAACTCAACTTTGCCTTTCTTTTTGCGTTTCTTTTTTTGTTTTCAGTGTCCCATGCAGGAAATGAAACCACAGAGAGATGTGTTAGATCTTCTTCCAAAACTGAAGTCTATGGCTCTCGCTGACAGGGCAGTGTTTGAGAAAGGGATGAAAGCCTTTGTCTCTTACATCCAGGCTTACGCCAAGCATGAATGCAATCTGATCTTCCGAATGAAAGGTAACTCCCAGCAGGAGCTGGGGATCTTTTTCTGTTCTCCAGAAGGCAATATTTGGTTTGGCAAAAAAAGCCATGAATATTATCCTGAAGCTACAACCACCCATTTCTGTTCTCAGAGGTACTTTCTGCAGTATCCAGTTGTGACAGAATTCTTATTTGCTTAAGCAATTTCTCATCGTTTTCAGAGAAAATGTTTAATTAGCAAGAGTGACTGAAACGAACCTGAGCATAAATGTGACCTAAGGTTGTTACTGCTATTAAATACAAATTTCAGGATAATCTTTTTTCCTGTGACTCTGTAAGTTAACTTTTTATCCAGCAGAAAACTGACTTTATAATCCTTATCTTAACAGATCTGGACTTTGCTAGTCTTGCTAAAGGTTTTGCCTTGTTAAAGATGCCAAAGATGCCTGAGCTAAGAGGAAAATGTTTTCCAGACTTTACTCCAGTCACTGTTAATACAGACTCCATTCCATTTAAGGATAAAAATAGAGAAAAACAGAGGCAAAAGCAACTAGAGCAACAAAGAAAGGAAAGAGAAGAAAGTGGAGGAAAAAAGAAATTCATAAAAAACAAATCCTGGTCAAAGCAGAAAGCCAAAAGGGAGAAGAAGAGGAAAATAACAGCTAAAAGGAAGCGTGAAGAGGTAAACAGTGCCCATCTTATTAAAGTGCACGTCCTTGCTTTAGCATAGGTGTGAACTGCCACAAGGCAGAGCAGTGGGATTTCAGTGTGACAGGAGCGAGATGCACTGCAGAATTACTTACTGAAAAGAAACCTTCCAGGTCCTTGACAGGCAAAGCACAAAAAAAAAGCTTTTTAAAGCCAAATGTTGAAGCAGTTTCTCATCACTCATGGTGAATTGCTGGCAGCATAGGCTCATAGGCTGCATGGATTGTAAGGGATACAGCATTTACTTCACTGGACAGTTCTTATTTGTTGTTGCTTTTATTTTTGTATCTTAATAAGGCTATTTGATAGATTGGTTGTAGAAATTGAGTGTAATTTCCTGCTTGGATGCTGCTGGCAAAAAAACGTTGTAAAATTCTGTTGTGTTCAGCTACATAGAAATGAAGCCTTTTGGTGTTGTGTGTAATCTGTTGTACTTCAATGGCTAACAGGGCTCTGATATGGAAGATGAGGACATGGAAGAGCTGCTGAATGACACGAGACTCTTGAAGAGATTAAAAAAGGGGAAAATAAGTGAAGAAGAATTTGAGAAGAGGCTAACAGGTAGCCAGAGTAAATTCAAAGAAGAAGCTGCTGCTAACTGAGACTGAAGGTTGACGTTTATTCCAACTGGACTTTTACATTAAGATACTCCTTGTTTCAATAAAACTGTATTTTTATAACAAAATAATGATGCAGAGAACAGAACAGATTTAATTTCTTCGTAAAGAAACCTGGTTTCCATAAGCACAGTTAAGAACAAAGCTAAAAGCACTGCCCTTGTATGATTTGGCTGGAGCTACAGCTTTCTTTTGGAGCATTTATTTCAGGGTTTTTTTTTGTTCACAGATCAGTGAGTGACAGCACAGCTCCGAATGAGGCTGCAAACACCATAAGTTACTTTATTTTTCAGTACTGCAGTACTTGGCCCATCTTTCAGAAAATTCATTGAAGGTATTCAGAAGCTGTAGCAACTTGGATTTTTCGTTTCTGAACATCGATCCACCCCCAGGTAATGCCTTAAGCTGAAGAAGGCCAGTAATGACATGAATCCTTGTAATGCTGTCTCCTTACCACGTCCAGCCCACTTCATCACCTGCCAGGCTCTTACAGCTGTGAAGTCATCAAAGATGGTACATTGCACAGCATGTCCTCATGTTACAGATAGAGCTTAATGAGTTCATCACTGACAGCTGATGGAGTTAACACACCGAGGTCTGTAAACAGTAATGTAATGAGTGATGGTGATGTGTAGTCAATCCAGGGATGTTCCTCTGTTAGATTCTGACTTGTTTTCAGAGTGTCTGCTTTGTACTAGAAGGAAATGAGACCATTAATGAGACACAGTTGTGAGCTAAAACCTCTCTTGGGCAGGGGCAGTACTGTAATCCTGAGCAGATATTTGTGGTAAAATGGAAGGAAGTCAGCTGCTCTAAATGAGGCACACACTGCCACCTTGGTCTCGAGTGTTTTACCTTCTATCCACCATACAACTTATAGTGCTGAAGTGTCTTGATGTAGCTGTTTCTTGCCTGCAGCTACTGCTGTGCCCCAAAGGAACTGCTTTAGTAACTCAATGAGAGCATTAGGACAAACTGTGGACGTTTGAGCTGAACGTGGAGCAACTCTGTACTGTGTGTCAAGTTAACTACAGTAGAGAGAGCCAAATAAACGAAGACGTGCTTAGAAGAAAATTACTCACAGGCATGTAAGTGGATCTCAGTTTGCCAGGAAGCAACCTGTATTTCTCTTACCTTAAACTTATCTGGGACATCCTGCTGGTTGAGGGGGAAAAGTCTTACAAACTTGAAACTTTCTGCTACCACATAAAATGGCTTATTCTGAGCTTTGGCACACACAGCAATCTGATTGGTGCCAATCTGTGGAGACACAAAAAATAACACGCAGATTCAGTGCTAGTTTGACTTAATATTGCCACATTTCCAATGATAACACTTTCACTGATTGATATCCAAGAAAGTTTTAATAGAGTTTACAGACTGATGTAATGCATTCTCTTTTACCTTGTTAATAATGCCTCCACTTTCAACTACACCTTCAGCACCAACTAAGACCAGGTCCACTTTCTCCATAATGTAGCTGTTGAAGGAGGGGAAAAAATCCAAGTCTTAGTAAATAATATGACTCATGGAACAGAACAGAGATAAGGAACTCAAACAGTCTCTCACTTTTCTAAAGTAGTTTTAGCTGCTGTTAGCTAAGTAGGGCTGTGGTGTTAGACATCCTTAGAATGAGCCTTCACCTGCTTGCTCAGCAAGAATGGCACAAGCCATGTCTGACATTGACAACTGTGTAAGTGCTGGGAGAAATTCATCAATTGTAGCCAGTACATGACAAAATATGCTATAATTTAGCTTAAAAACAAACACAACATTTATAAAGTAGAGAAATCAAAGTAGCTTTCTTTAGTACAGCAGCTCCTTCTCCACATATCCCCAAGTTCTACACTTGGGTTGATGGAGTCAGGCCTAATAGGCAAACATCAAAGTACAGGCTTTGCAGCAGGTGTATTTGGTTAATTATGCACCTAAAGGTGTAACTTGCTTAGCTTGTTTGATGACTATGACAACTATTTAGAATAATCTTCTATGGAACTGAAATGTAACAATGTTAAAATAAAGTTGGGATGAACAACATTAAGATTTAATGATCAGGCTTACCCAACTGCAGCATCCAATATCACAGTCACAGGAATGTTCAGTTTCCTCAGGGCCTTTGCCATTTTTTGCCTATTAAAAAACAAATATGAAGCTTAGAAGTCTTTCTTTGAAGATGGTGCTAGAAAAATAATGTCTGAACGAATGAAACCCATGAGGTCCTGTGTTCCTACAAGGCTAGCAGCTTTTAAGTTATGACAGATTTGATGCTAGCTATAGCTTATCCTCTTAACCAAGATCAAACACAAGTTAATGAATACTTGCCCTGCTTGGTCTGGCTGTGATTCAGTAACATAAACGCTGAATCGCTTCTTTGACTCAACAGCTGCTTCTAGCACTCTGAGGACCACTCTTGAGTAGGCATGTGTCAAAATCCTCTGTCAAAAAAGATAAAATATTACTTCTTGCTGAGCTTTAAAACATTTATTGCAGTTAGGGGTGTCAGGATTTTTACTTTTACTTGTGTCGATGTTAATTAATATCTAACATATGATGTTATGGTCTCAGACTAAAAGAGGGACAGTTTAGATTGGATATAAGAAAAAAGTTAGTTATGATAAGGGTAGGGAAGCACTGGCACCAGGTGTCCAGAGGGGTGGTGGTGCTCCATCCCTGCAGCCAGCCATGGTCAGGGGACGGGGCTGTGAGCACTGATGGAGCTGTGGGTGTCCCTGTGCACTGCGGGCAGTTGGACTATATGAGATTTAAGAATCTCTTCCAACTGAAGTGATTCTATAATTCTATGATGTTGCTTGTATTCTAGAGATTGTAGGAGAGGAAACCACTCTGAGAGATGGGCTTGATATGGCAGTCCTGATGCTACTAAAGGGCAACAATTCAGTACATTAAATGGTAACTGCATGTTGCGATGTCTCAGCACAGGTGGAGCACAGGCAATGCATTGCATGGAAACAAAAGGAGGGGAGGAGACGAGCCCTTAGAGAAATAAAGCCACGGCTTCTGTGAGTGCACAGGGATAATAACGTTGTCCCCTCCTCCATTGCTGCTATGGATGTTGGTGAGCTTCACCCCCTCCTCCTCTGCCTTCCCAGCAGCGCCGGGACGTGAGCAGCTGCCCTGGCCTACTTACGGCTCCATCTTTGATGAAGGGATGGCACAGCTTGGCGATTTTGTTCCTCGAGAGAGACACCTTCCTGAGGAAGATCTCCCCGCGCTCGATCATGATTTCTTTGCACTTGGAGTAGTCCTGGAAAGGACGGCGAGTGTTGAAGCAGCCGGCCGGCCCTATAGCACGGAGCTGGGCGGGAGCCCGCGCCTTACCGAGTACTCCAGCGAGGTGAGGCTGATGAAGCGCAGGAAGAGCTCCCCGCCGGAGTTGACGGCCACCGACGAGTCCACCCGCGACAGCGTATCGATGGCATCGCGCAGGCTGCTCCGCAGGCCCTGGATGGTTTCTCCTGGGGGGCGGACAGAGCGGCGCTGTCAGGGTCGGGCCTCCCCGGTTCGGGTTCGGCCGCGGGAGATCGGCGCCCACCTCGGTCCCGCCGGAGGAAGCCCAGCAGCGCGCGGATGGCGGCCACCGCCGAGGCGACGTCGGGGTCGTCCCTCAGCTGCGCCCTGAAGGTCTCGATCAGGTCTGAAAGGCAAAGGGCCGCCTCAGCCTCGGCTCGACCCGGCCCCCCGCCTCCCTCCTAGCGCCCCGTTACCGTCCGTGCTCATGGCCGCCCACGCCCTGCCCGGCCCCGCGCGGCGCCCTGCGATGACGTAGTGCTCCGCGTGACGTCACCGGTGCGCGCCGCCGGCGGCGGGATGGGCGCGGGTGAGCGGCGGCGGCCGGGGGATCCGGGAGTGGGGGTGGGCCGGGCGGAGCCGAGCGCAGTGCAGCCCCGGGGCTCCGGGCGCGGCCTTCTGCAGTGACCCCCTGTCTGTTTTGCAGACGAGGAGCTGAGCCTGCTGGTCATCGTCATCGACACCAACCCCATCTGGTGGGGGAAGCGGGCGCAGGGGGAGGCTGAGGTGCGTCCTGGGACGGCGCTGCGGGCGGGGCCGCTTCTCAGGGAAGTCCTCGGGGAAACCGCGGTGGGAAATACGAAAGATATTCACAAACAGGGTGCGAGACTGAAGAGTCTCTTCCAACTGAAATCGTTCCATGGTTCTACAGCTGTCAAAGCTTTCCTTAGATGCTTCCTGTTAGAAAGGGAACTACGCCTTCAAGTTCTAACTGCAGTTACGTGGATTAGTTAACTGTATTATTAACAGCTGAATTGTTCTTTTTTTTGGGCAGTTCACCCTGTCAAAATGTATCGACGCAGCAATGGTGCTGGGAAATTCACACCTGTTCATGAGTCGCACCAACAAACTTGCTGTGATAGCCAGTCACACGCAGGAAAGGTACAGCAGCTTCTCACCACTATAAAAGCCTGAAGCATTTTTCTGTGTCTCCTGATAGCATAGGAGAGAAATGATCTGTTTTAGTGCCTTTTGCAAAGCAAGGAAGAGTCAACGAAAGTGACAAAAGTTTCCTGTTTGGTTGAAATTCACGTCTCGGAATCTATGTACAAACGCATGGTACCTGTTTGCCAGTTGGCTTAAAATGTATCTTGAAAGGAGGACGGTGAACCATTTGGGGCATGAAGTTTTCTTGCCTAATGTATCCAAAATAACGTCTAAAATTTTAAAATTATTTGAAATTTTACTTCAAAATATTGCTGTTTATGAGTGGTCAGCTTACATCTTTTTTTTTCTTACAGGCTTAAAGCAAACCACAGTACTTTGTTCTTCCTCTCTTTCAGCCGTTTCTTGTACCCTGGGAAGCGTTGGGCTTCTGCAGATCTCCTTGGAGATGGTGGTAATTCTGTGGAATTGAATTGTTCTGGCAGCAAGGATGGAAAATATGAATTGTTAACAGCGATAAACGATGCAATTGCAGAAGAGATTAAAGACCTCATGACAAAAAGTAAGGAAAAGAAAATTCTAGGTTTCATAATGTGGAATTGCGAAACATTCTCTAGGAGTTGTAGGAATTTCATTTTTCTCATCATTTCAAATGATTCAAAATCATTTGAGTTTTAATATGTTTACAGTAGGTGGGTTTTTGTGGCTCTGCACTAATCCAGTATGGCAAAGATAAAACTGTAGCACTTGGTGAGATCAGGCTTGGTGAATGTCTTTGTATATGAAAGTAATTTCTGTAATTTGCATTGCAGCTGACATGATGGGCCAGCAAACAGAGACTCTACTAGCAGGGTCTCTTGCTAAAGCACTTTGTTGTATCCTTTTGATGACGGATGTTTTAGAAGCTTTTGTCTGTTTCTTTAAGGCTGTTTCTCGTTATGCTAATTATGCTTCAACACAGTCTCACTATCAGTGCATTCTGTAATAATTTTCAAAAGTGAAACATTGTCCTGATAACTGTGGATTGAACAGCGTGTATTGTTTGAGGTAATGAATTCATTGCATGGATACTGGTGTTGCTTCCATGAAAAGAAAGTGGATTCCTTAATGTCATCTAATGTAGATATTAACAAGATGAGCAAAGAGGTGAAAGGTAATGCCTTGTGAGTGCTTCCGCAAGTATTTGAATTGCAATGGCAGAAAAAAATGCATATTTGCATACAAGCAAGTATGTGTATATACCTTCTAACTCAAGATGGCTGATTGAACTGATGAGTTGGTAATGAACAGCCTTCAGTATTTCTTTTCTGACCAATACCTAATTGCTTTTGGACAATAAATGGAATAGGCCCACTTTCATAACAAGTTCTACAGATATTTGTCACTTATTTCTGGTGTTTTCTGTACCAGTGGGACTATTAGATGTTTACATTGACACCGACTGAGATGGTAGATCTATCATTTTGGATGTTAGATTAATTGGATTTAGATTAATTGGAATGTTAGGTACTATAGCATCGTAAGGACAATTACAGGGAATGGATGTACTCATGTGCTTTTATTTTCTTTTTGATAATCAGCCAATCAGGAAATGAAATCAAGAATTTTGGTAAGAGCTTTGTTGTTAGTCTACTATTAGTCTTAAAATGCATCGATGCTATGTGGGCTAACAAGTCTCAATTGTTTTATTTAGGTCATAAAAGCTGCAGAAGACAGTGCATTACAATATATGAATTTCATGAATGTGATCTTTGCAGCACAGAAACAGGTGAAGCTGTTTGGTGTGTATATAATCTTTTATTAGTGTGTAAAGAGTGAAAGAAAATTCATTTATGCTATTGCTGTGATCTGATTAAAGTGTCCTTGAAGTGAAGACTGTCATGCCCAGAGTGAAAGGTAACCAAGTTTAAAAGTCAGATCCTACTGCTTAACATGAAGGGTTTGCTGGACTAATTAGAGATTGCTATGAAAGAGTAGATGGTAGCTTCTGTACTACGGGTACTGTGTACAGGATGCCTTTGCTGATGGTTCTTCTATCGCCATGCATGAGAAGGGAGGTGTTAGAAATGTGGGTGTTTGTTCTGACCAAGGGAAGGAGCTTTCTTACTGCTGTGGTGGTCCTGCAGCTGTAAAACGTGTATGAGATGGACGAGGTTACATTGTTCCTAGCTGAACTCCTTTTTTTTGTGGGTCTCTTTACTTGCAGAGTATTTTGATTGATGCTTGTGTCTTGGACTCTGATTCAGGCCTTCTACAACAGGTACAGGCTTCCTATTCTTATTTGCTATTTACTTTAATTCATGGATACTTGATGACAGATAGTTTGGTATTTAAAAGCACTCAACTTTTTTTAAACCAGAGAAAGAAACAGTATTACACCCTTCTATGTGACAACGTCTGGGTATTTTATGATGGTAAAATGCTGTCTCTTTTTCACAGTCTTTTTGTGCCCTTCTATTTTGTAACAATTTGTTATTGTTTTGTTCTTTTTCCTTGACTAGTAGAAACTGTTGCCTTCCTTTTAGGACTGAACTATCTGATCTCTCTCTGTGTTCCAGGCTTGTGACATTACAGGTGGTATATACTTGAAAGTGCCCCACCTGCCATCCCTCCTGCAGTATTTGTTGGTATGTGTTCATGAGCTTTTTCCTATGTCAGATGTGAAATCTTTCTGACTTTAATGGCACGGTAATACAGCAATTTCCACACTTTTTTTTTTTTTTTTTTTTTTTTTTTCTGTTTCTATAGTGGGTTTTTCTCCCTGATCAAGAGCAAAGATCACAGCTTGTGCTTCCACCTCCTGTTCATGTTGATTACAGAGCTGCATGTTTCTGTCATCGAAATCTCATTGAAATTGGTTATGTATGCTCTGTGTGCTTGTCAAGTAAGTTAATAAATATGAGTTTAACTTCCTACATTTCAAATGAACTATTTTAGTGACAGCTAATTCTTTTATTTTCCAGTATTCTGCAACTTCAGTCCTATTTGCAGTACATGCGAGTAAGTATTTCTTCTTATTTCAGGAATGGGTGTGAAAATATGTTTGTTGTAATTGACAGTTCCTTTTTATATTATTTCAGGACTGCTTTCAAAATATCACTGCCTCCTGTCATGAAAGCTAAGAAGAAGAAATTAAAGTTAGCTGCTTAATGCGACTTAAACACACCATTATCTCCTCCTGTGATTCTGTGATGTGGAACATACTTGAGAAATTGATGACACTTTTTATGGGATATGAAAGAGACCTGTGTGTGGTCTTACAGCTTATTTTGTTACAGTATTTAAGTCATGTTTTCTGTGTAGTAACAAATCACTGTATTTACTGGTAATCTGTGCTGTTTTAAACACTGATTATTCGTTGTAATTAGAACCAGAAGTTACAGGTTGTTAAGATACAGATTTTGCAAAGTTAGAAGTATTCTTGTTGCTGCAGTTTCAAACCTCCAAATTATTTTCAAAGACAAGAAAGCTTTGATTGTTTTTAATCACATGTTGGTGTAGAGGGAAGTTATGACCACTGCCAGTGTCTGAATCTCAGTACTGCTGTTCAAGGACTTCAGTGTTCTGTGAGCTCTCAGTGGCTGTCTGGGCACTGAAATGGGGGCAGCTTCTGAAGAAGAAAGCCATATGTTTCAAGATGGCTTAGAACACACCTTCCTGTTCAGGGTGTGAATTCTGTGGTTACATAAATGCTCACGTTGCATAAACTTTTATTTCCTTTGTGCTTTTGGTTCTCTTGAATAGCTGCTCCTCAGCAGATGAATATCACTGGAACAGTAATATGGAGTTACCCTTTCCAGGGGAGTTTAAGACCTCGTTTATGTGTGAAAAGGGGCTTACTTTTGTAAAATGACATTGGTAAATGTCCGTTAGGAGGTTAGTCTGCAGTGCTGTGCTTTGAAACTGGAAAGGTTTTGGATCAATGTGTTTTGTATCCGAGTATGAGGGTGTATGGTGTGCTTCATGTGCTGCTTTGGTTAAAAAAGCACAAAATGATCTGTCTGTGTGCAGCCGTGTCTGCGCATCCAGCTGTGCACCTGGCTTCGGTCAGTGCGGCTGTTCTCATCAGTGCCATCCTTGTAGCCGGGAGCCATTTTGTTAGAAGGCTGTATCTAGAATTCGCTTTCTACAAAACCTTTTGAAATAAAGGCAGCTCTTTTTACAAACGCGGACACCGTTCGGCTTCCTGGGTGTTTGTAAGGCGGGGCGGCACGCTGTGACACGGCGCTGCCTCAGCGCTTCCCGCCCTCCCCGTCGCCATGGCAGCGGCATCGCCGCCTCAAGATGGCGGCCCGGCGGCGCGGCGCTTCCTGACGCCATGGCGGCCGCCGGGCTCGGGGCGCTGCTGCTGCTGCTGCT